AAACCGCCTCCCTGCCGCCCCCTTCGCCCGAGGAGCCCGCTGCCTCCTCCCGCACTGCCCGCAGCAAGGGGCTGCGGTGCCGCGGCGAGGGAGGCCCGCCGAGCCCCCGGGGCTGCCCGCCGAGGCCGAGCTCCGCGTGCCTCCTCTCACCGCGTGCCCGCGTCCCCTCCTTTGGTCGTGTTGGAGGCGGCTAAGGAAACAGTGTGGGGGGTCGGGGAATGGGCAGTGGGACAGTGAGCACGTCACCCCCCAGAAAGCAGCCCCAGCAGCTCTTGGAGGCGGTTTAAGATGGAGTAGAAACCACAGGCTAGTACAGCTAGCAGTGCTATGTGTATGAATAACACTCAGACAAACATCCAGGGGAAAAAAAAAGAAGCATGTAGGAATCTCGCCACATTTTGTCCTACCAGGCGCTCCAGCTGTAAGCCTCCTGGAGCAGATGCCACTCAGTTCAGGTGCTTTGCTGTTAGGAAGATACTCATGGCTTGAATGAAGGGTAAAAATCATTATGCTGCTAGCAGAAATGTCATGTGGACTGCTCCGAGGAATGTCTTTGCAGAACGATGTATGAAATAATTAGATCTTGGAGCTGAAGCATGAGCGAGTGGATGTGGAGTTCAGGCTCCTTCATTTGCTTGTGTAGCAGTACGCCGGACTGCCGTGGCCAAAAGGGAGGTGATTTATTCTGTCAGTTGCTGTAGCTTACTCAGTTGAAAGGAAACTGTCCAGATGACCAGAAAGGCTTTGAGACAGATCTCCGCATGGAGCAGCATACAGATCTGATCGCACTTGCACGGGAGTGGAGGATTAAAGCACACTTACAATAATAGTACCCCTGGACATTCGTATTGTCATTGCTAACATTATTTGTTATTCATTCATTACCCACGACGTAAAACTTCAGGAATACACCACTGGCCGTAGGGTTAAAGCTCTCGAGCTGGGGCTCTAGCAAGGATAATATTCTAACTGCTCAAAAAGACTGTTTCAGGGTGCGGACAGAAAGAATCCCAGAGAAGAGGAGTCTTACTTGAAGGGTATTGAGATACTCCCACGACTGCTGCATTGGCTGCATGATGTAGGTTGTTCATTGTCTGTGAGCACCTTGTCTGGTTGCTAGTGCGCAAAAAAAAAAAAAAAAGCCCCAAATCCCATCCTCCCAGAGCTCCCCAAGCAGACCCAGAGGGAGCACATTAAGGAAGTGTTCCCAAGAGAAAACATGAGTGGAGGAGGATGAGCTCTTAATAAAAAAACTACTGATGGATGTTCTTCCTGTTTTGGATGGATGTCACGTTTACAGGAGATGGTAATGGGCTGGGGGTAGATGTGACTTTGGATTATTGCTCTGTGGCAGTCAGGAGTATTGGAATCTTGGCTCTTGTTTTTTGAGGCACTTTATTTGATTAAAGTTTCCCTTTTAATCAGAGATATGGCCATTTCCCGTCTCTAAAATGGAATCTGGCTCTGAGGGGTCACGTCTGGATAATAAAGGGACTGGTTCTCGTGTCTCAGGGGAGATAATATTGAATTTATGCCATCAAGGGAAAGCAGAATTATACTTGTAAAATGTTGCATAATAAATTTAGCTTTCTTAGTAAATCACATCAGCTGATATCGTTATCTACAGCAGATGCGTCATCACTACGTGTGCTTCTTTGACTGGACAGGACTAATGGGGAGAAGATGTACCCTCAAATGTGGTCAGAGCTGAAAATTAAAATAAGACTCCCTGGTGTTTGGCTTAGACACTCATAATTATCTTTGGGATAGGACTTTCAGAATGAGATGAGGGGAAGTGACTTTACATTTTGTTCTGCTATCCCAAAGTGCAGAAGATAGGACACTGATTTTGGTTTGAATGCGGAGGAGGGAATGTGCTTCATTTGTCCTGCAGTGCAGTACAGTCAATTTTGGAAATCCTTGTTTAATGTCAAGGAGACTGAGAAGGTCTTAGGTCTGTGTGGACTTGCTTACTGCTTCCTTTGTGTTGATGGCAAGTACCGGGAAGCTCACAGTTCTGTCCTATTCCAGAATTTACTAAAAAAAAAAGGCTTTGGGATGGAAATCACATTTACGATCTTCAGGATTTCAGGAACGACAGATAACATATAACATATGTGTAATCATATAAACCTATTATAACCAGTTCGTGGTATCAATATAAGTGAGACATGAGTGGAGAGTGGGGTTTAGCACTGCCTGATAGTTCTGCTGTTGCCTCTCAGTTTAACTTTGAGAGACCTAAGTAACTCAGGAAATTTTGAAAATGAGGTATGTTTCTATCTACACATAAAAATAAATATGCTTGTAGCTAAACAGAAAAAATGACTGTGTACAATCTGCACTTGCTTGTCTTGCTTCGTACTGAATTGATAGTCCTTATGCTTTGGAATGACGGTTGTTTTAAATGTTGTATGAGAGTGATCTTAGAGATAGAGAGATGTAACTGCGGCTGTGATGCACCCTGCTGTCAAGAGGGGACTGAACTTAACTGAGTGTCCCTAAGACATGAGAAAAACTTTTCGATATAGGGAGTCCAAATGCAATGACTCAGAGAGCGAGAGTTCTTCGTGTCTGCAAAATACTAATTTTCTTAATAGCCTTAGTATTTAATGTCTGCAATACAGAACTTGTCCTCTTAAGGATATGGCAATATGTTTGAGCACTTAGTTCTGAGCTATTTCTGTGGTTGTTTTTCTACCTTATTTCTGATTAAAAGACCTGCATATCTGATCCTGTCAAACAGGAGAGACTCACCTCATTTAAACAAATATGTTATAATCTTTAAGAGGAGCAGTGAAAGAAAGGGAGTAGAGTGTAAAGTCCATTTTCAGCATCATCATTTAAAACACATTTTAGGTGTGAAGTGGACATCTGTAGAGCAGAAACCAGTGCATTATTTCTGAGAATGGAATTACTGAGAAAATGCTGATTCTTTGCCTTAGTATGGCAGCAGTAGCTGATCTTCCTGATTTTCCCACCAAACACTAACATCTACATATGCTTGAGAGCTCAGGACAGACAGACAGTCCCTAGGCAGTCAGTTTTAGCCCATCAAATCAACAGCACTTCTGCCACCAGCAGTAGCAGCTCCTTGCCACAGCTTTGTGGGGAGACCTTGTCTGTTGCAATTCTTCGTCAAAGCTTCAGAAGTGATAGAGATGTAACTGGGCATGGGGACTGTGCATTAAAGCATGCCCATCCATTTCTGTAAAAGCTGTGTCTAATAAGTAAGGCTTTCTTTAAAAATGGTTGTCATAGCATCTTTTTTAAGGAATGGTAAATGATCAGGTTCTTTTACATTGTACCCATATTTCATATGGTTGGAAAACTGCTGTCATCCTGCTTCAGTCTTTGGCAAATAATGTTTGCGTGAGGCAGAAAAATAGATGAGAAGAGAAAGACGAAAAGTAATCTGAGGGCTGTGTCTAGGCTTATGTTAGCTCTATCAAAAGTTGATGTTCTTGTTAGTTGTGATAGACAGTTGTGCAGTTAAGGCTGAAGGAGAACTATTAAATTATAGTGTTATTCTCTTCAGTAAGCTCTTGATATCTCTGCTTTTAAATGGTAAAGCCAATGGCATTTTCGCTCCCTCTTTGGAGAGTACTTCTCTGTGCACTGCTTGAATAGCTTCCTTATATGTTCAGGTTGACATTTCTTTTCCTGTTTTGTGCCCTGTATGCAAAGGTCTCCTCCGTGTGTCACTTTAAACCATCCCTTTCTCTTCTTGTGTGTTTGGATTGTTTCTCTGTCAGTCACAGACTATATCGGAACTACAAGTGATGCACTATCAGTTTTCTTTGAGATGTAAGAAGCAGGTCTATGATCTCTAAATATCCTTCTCCTTCCAACCACTGCTTCTCAGAGCTTTAGCATCATTCTTGTCCTGCGATGTCTTCCTTTACTCCTTTAAGGAAGCCTGTCCAAAAGTTCTTGAGCCAGCCATAGATATATATTTTCAGCTTTTCAATTGTAAAAATACAGAATCTACCTTTGTTCAATAAAACCTCAAAAAAAGTTAACCTACACAGTCATTTGTCATCTGGTTTTGCAGTGAACAGGAACTAGAGATATTTTTCGATAACTTTGATACTTGTTTCTCCTCTAGTCAGTGTTCACCCTTCTGTGCTTTGCTGTAGCCTGGATTGAGTTCCTTGTTAGCTCTCTGTTACTTAACAGCTTCCCA